GTGTCTATACTCTGTGTCGTTGTATATATTGTATTGGTCATGACATGCATGGATGTAGTACTTTGTCAGCTTATCTTGCTGCATTGCTCTGTTTCAGGGTGTTGTTATCCTTGTCATTAAACTACCGAAACTGACATTGAGGAGTGTGTTTTCTTCAATGTATAACAAGTACATTTAAAAAAGGTGATTTAAGGAAACATCTAAAAATCGAGAAAATAGACTGCAGAGGGTTAAACCTTATGAGCACAGGTTTTAAAACTCAAAGACATTAAACTGAGATTTCCTCCAAAGCTTATTCCACTGTATTAGGGGTCAAAGCACTTTTATCACCAGCCTTCTCAATAATCTTATTCCTCTGTTCCTACCATTCAAAGTGATGCTGATTACCTTCCACTGATAATATGTGAGGCTGTTGCTGCCAGCTGCTGGCTGATGTGTGGCTTTGCTGCTTCCCTCTGTGGCAGTAGCCGCAGAGGGAAGGATAGGTGAATGTATTTGTTAAAGTTGGTTTGATTACACCATTCACAATTCCGACAACGCCACCTTGGGAGTTTCAACCCAGGAAATATTAACACTTCTTTCAGTTATAGAGAGGACAGATAGGTTCGAATACTAATGGAGCAGGAGACACGGTTTCAAGTTATCAAAAATATACAATTTTATTTGGCACAAGTCACTAGTTAAAATGCAGTTAAAAACAGTCGCACAGGGCTGTAGCACAAAGGGGAAAAATGAATTAGGGGCTGAGGCTTACCAGTGGGGGGATAGGGTCGACGAGTGAGTGGAAGGATCCCCAAACAAACCAAACTTAAATCACCCCAGTCATACGTGCAGGAAATCAAATCCCGGGGGAGCACATCACACACAAAAGAAGAGGAAAACCACCACCTTGGACACCAGCACCACCACCTTCAGCTCTCAGTAACTAAGTAGCGAAACAAGAGGGCAACGCAGTTAATGGGGGCTAAATACGTAAATCAAAGTAATAAACAAACACAATATCAAATATGTTCTCATAAGCAGATGATAACTTGTGTAAACATTTAAGAATAAAACAAATCAAAAGAGAAAAGGTTCAGTTAAACAAAATAAACAATTAACTAGAATAAAATAAACAAACTAATTTAAATCAAGTTGGCCAAAGTAAGGACAAGTTATAGAGGGAGTTAGCCCCAGAGTTCAGTGACTTCCACTTCGAGTGTCGGCCCAAGCAAGGCAGTAGGAAGGCGTGCAGTTAAAGCAGCACTTTAACTGGTGAGCAAGCCTCCGCAGTAGGCGACGCAAAGCTGGCCAGAAGCAGCAATCAGAAGCCACAATGTGGTAACAGTAGCCCAACATCTAGGCAGGATCAACAGCAGTTGTGACGTTACTGCCGATACACATACTTTCTCCGGTGAAGCAAAACAGCAGAAGTCCCTTAACCATTGGATTGGCCCTAGGTTGATGAATAAATACAAATACAGCATTAATATCAATAAAAGTAATGAGGTGGATTGACCAAATAGATTACCGTACAGCGCACATACCGATCAGGCTTTCCTATCGATAACGCAGAGAGGGGAGAGCTTCATGCTTTTTATGGCTGCGTTGACAGGCTGCACCTGGAGGATCCTCCACTAGGTGAGGCAAAGCAGGGCTAAGTATCAATACGCTGGTAAATTGCAGAACCTTTCCTGAAGCAAGCAATGCTACTGCAACATACCTGCACCGGTGGCGGAAGCAACACGCAAGTGGGGCGGGTCTGTGTACCAACAAACAAGAGACAGCCAGCTAGAAACCTCTGCCCTTTTATAGGGTGCCCCTGGTGGTGACAGGCTCACAAGAGCCAAACGAGGAGAATATGCTTTACAAGGGATTAGGACTCTCATCCTGCCACACCTCCATCACTGATGGGTGTGGTGGGGAGGAAACAAGGAAGCTCTTACACTGTATTCAAGCATCAGTTTTGGTGACTGTTTTGTTCTTGTAACCGTATGCACAATCAATACTCCAGACTACGACGTGCTATATTCAACGTTTATTGTTATACCGGAGACATTCATGTCTGGTAGGAAGGCGAACTTCACTCAACTCCTCTTGTTTTCACTTCCGGGCGCTGCTCAGTGGCTGCCCTGCGGTGTTTCACGCTGGCATTTGGCTTGTTTTAGTTTGTTTGTTTTAGTGCTTGTGACTGTCTCTTATCTCGGCACCTCCCCGAATCGAAGAATGCATGGATCTCGCTCTGTGGTGCATGATCAGCCTGTTTATAGTGATTTTAAACAGCTCCCATGGATATAACTACGACTATGCTGCTGACGGTACAGCCAGAGGAATACATTACAGCAGAGAAACGTTGCTGCTGCTGCGCAACACATCCCGGATCTGTCACAGGAGTTCTTAACCAGTGTTGGATCGCTACCGAACTGTTTTAAAAAGGACCCTTCTACCTATCGCACAAAGCGAAAATGCGGATGCAAAGGCGGCACCCGTCACCGGCTGACAAGGTTAGGAAATAAACTCCCTCTGCCTACCGCTCTAACTCATTCATGCGCAGTCCCTGAGAGCAAAGATTGACGAGCTGTCAGCCAACACCCGCTACCTGCATGAATATCGGGATGCATGTGTCTTAGCGATCAGACATGGCTGCATAACAACATCGAGTCCAGTGTAGTGGAGCCTTCCGGGTTCTCTGCGTTTAGAACCAACCGAGACCCGATCATCACCGAGAAGGTACGCAGGGGCGGAGTCTGTCTTCTCATCAGGGACGATGGTGTCAGGCTGTGGCGATAAGAGAGCAATTGTGCACTCCGGACATATAACTGCTGTGTGTCTCTCTACGACCATTCTATCTTCCCAGGGAGTTTCCTCAATTATTCTTCACTGTGGTGCACATACACCCCAAAGCAAATGTGAACAAAGCCACCAAAATCATTTATAATCTCTCTCAGAGACTTGAGTCACTTTCTCCTGACGCGCCAACGTTCTTTCTAGGAGATTTTAATAACTGTCCCATTAAAACAAACCTGAGGTGTGGACTCGAGTCACATGACTTGGACTGGAGTCAGACTCGAGTCACCAATTTGATGACTTGAGACTCGACTTGACAAAATCACAAAACACTTGCGACCACCAATGACTCTGGACTTGACTTGGACTTGAGCCTTCTGACTTGAGGTGACTTGATAATTTAATTCAGAGGTCTCCAACACGCCGATCGCGAGATGCCGCTAGAAGAGCAGACTCCCGTCGGGGAGAGCAGAATCTTCAGCCGCTCCTACTCTTGCTGAGAATCCTTGCAGGCAGGGGCGGGACTTTATTTAGCTGGGCCACCATGCGGCCAATCATATGCGAGGACACACTAGGATCATACCATTATGTGAAAGAAGGGTGGGGGGCACAGCAGGTGTAGTGGTACAGGCCAGCTGCACAGAGCGACGGGGAGACGGATTTAAATGCAAGCGCGTCGGAAAAAGTCAAGAAATGAGCGAGAACCGAAAAAAGAAGCAGCATCTGGCTGATTTTCAATGATATTGGAGAAAGCAAGCTGAGTGCAGGATTTGTAAAATCAAAATCGTTTTTTTTTGGTAACCACTAAGGACTTATTGTCAGAGGTGGGAGAAGTTCAGATCTTGTACTTGAGTAAAAGTATCAGAGTGTAGGAATACGCAGTTACAATAAAACCTGCATTCAAAATGTTACAAGTAAAAGTACAAAACTATCAGCATCAAAATATACTTAAAGTACCACCTGCAGAGGGATCTAGATTCAGGTGTTCTTTTCCCCATAGCCTCGCTGCACATTATCCCTTGCATAAAGATAGATTGTGGGTCCCTTATAACATGTTGTACACAGTGGAAATAAACATTCTGGTTACCTCAACATCAGGGATCTTATCAATTAAACTCCTTCTGAATCAAACCGTCACGGTAGCCTTACTTTACTGATCCCTCTTAAAATAGAAAAAACACGTTACTTCACCAGCAGAGAGAAAATGGATTATTAAATTATTAATGTGACTAATAAGAGCAGTTTGATTATTAAGTATTATTCTGTTGATCGATGTCATTACATTTGGTGAAAAGCACATAATGACTTGTTTAAGACTCGTTTTGTCAAAGTTTAGGACTTGGACTTGACTTGCCCATCCTGACTTGAGACTTGACTCGGACTTGAGCACAAAGACTTGAGCACAAAGACTTGAGACTTGACTCGGACTTGCAAAACAATGACTTGGTCCCACCTCTGGTACCTACTACCAGTACGTTGACTGCCACACTAGGAATGAGAAGACTCTGGATATGTGCTTTGGAACTGTTAAGGGCGCTTACACTGCATCCCCGCTTCCACCACTTGGGACATCTGAGTGTACAGTGTACAGTGTAGTCCATCTACGCCCTGTCTATCGGAGGAGAGGGAGAAACCTCAAGTTAAGACTGTCAAAATGTGGAATAAGACAGCATTATGGCTCTGCAGGGATGCTTTGACTGCTCAGTGGGAAACATTCGATACCCCGATATTAATGAACGGGTTGTGACAGTGTCTAGTTATATTGATTTTTGTGTCGATTCTGTGATACCCACTAAGTCTTTCAAAATATATTCGAATGACAAGCCCTGGGTGTCTCACAGTTTAAAGAAGCTGATTATTCTGAAGAAAAAAGCTTATAAAAACCAGGATGAGTTGCTAGGAAACATACAGAGAGATATTAAAAGACAATACAGTTAGACAAGTATAGCTATAAGGAGAAGCTGGAGGCAGCTCTGGCCTCTCCCAGAGAAGCATGGCAGGGAATTAAAAACATGACGAATGCTCCACATAAGGGCAGGGGAAAACCGTCTCCTGTCTTGATCAGTGGTGAGGGAAGGGAGACAAATCATTTGAACACCTTCTTCTGCCGGTTTGAGAGTAGCAACAGTATAGAGGCTGACACTGCCATTTCCCCTCCCCTCTAGTATGACTATTGAGGAGTCAGAAGTCATCCATCTCTTCAGGAAGTGTAATACGAAAAAGCCCTGGCCCCGATAATATTGAAGGAGCTGTTTTAAAACACTGTGCAGAACAACTTGCACCTGTATTTACAGACATTTTTAGGTCCTCCCTTAATCTGCAAAAAGTCCCTTCTCTTTGGAAAACATCCACAATTATTCCAGTGCCTAAAATCCCCAGGGCCAGTGAGCCCAATGACTTTCGGCCTATAGCACTCACCTCACTGGTATGAAATGTTTTGAGCGTTTAGTTAAGAGGTCTAATCTCACAAACGCAGCGCCTCTTAGATCCCATGCAGTTTGCATATCAGGCCTCTAGAGGGGTGGAAGATGCTATCGCAACCTCTTGCATCTTCTGCACACTCACCTCGAGACGCCAAAAGCCCATGTAAAGATTCTATTTGCTGACTTCTCATCAGCTTTTAACACCATTAAGCCAAGTATTTTAGCAAATATTTTAACTGAAGAATTCTCACTTGAACCTGGTCTGATCTCCTGGATCGTTGACTTCCTCAGCTGTAGAACTCAGCAGGTCAAAATAGGCATGGCACTTTCTGACACAATAACTACCTGGATAGGCTCACCCCAGGGATGTGTCTTATCCTCTCTTTTTTTATTTTATACACCAACTCCTGCATCAGCACTTTTCCCAATAGGCACTTTATTAAGTATGCAGATGATACGGCCCTGGTCAGCCTCCTCTTTGATGAGGAAGAGGAGCATGGGCCTGTCCTTGACTTCTTTATTAACTGGTGTGAGAAGTCAAACCTGCTTCTAAACACCTCAAAAACAAAGGAGATGGAAATTGATTTTAGAATAGCACAATCGCCCAACCCTACTCTTTTAAATAGTGAGCCCATTCAATGTGTCACTGAGTACAATATCTTGGTGTCGTGCTTGACCACAAGCTCAGATGGGATGTTTGGTCTGAGAAAATAAAAGCTAAGTCTCAACAAAGAATGTTTTTTTTTACGTAAATTATTGTCTTTTAATGTCGGCAACAGAATGGTGAAGATGTTTTATCATGCTTTTGAAAGTGTGCTCTCCTTCGGCATTATATGCTGGTTCGGCAACGCACTGAGGCTCAGAAAAAGTCAGTCAGGAGTGCCACAACATTGTCCAGTAAATTGACAGGAATCTCATTGCTAATATAGAATGCAAGGTTTTAAAATTGGCACACAATATTGTGAGTGACCTGAGGCACCCTTTGCCTCTTATTTCGAGCTGTTGCCATCCGGGCGGAGATATCGTGCCCCTGTTAAAAAAGAACAGATCTAGGCTGTCTTTCGTCCCACAAGCCATCAAACTCCTGAATCAATGATGGCTAGGACGCACTGTTTACCCAGCTGGTCTGGCCCTGTCCCCCCTTTCACAAATGAGGGGCTAGGCCCCTTGTCATGTCTGCCGATATCTGGTTTTCTTATGTCTGTTCGTTTTAATCTGTGTCTATGTTGTTGTCAGTGACGTATTGTCTTATCTTTTTAAATGCCTGTGTGATGTGCTGCAACCCATTTTCCCCTCGGGGACAAATAAACGAATACTATACTATACTCTCTGGCTGCGCACGCATACTGTGTCTACGTCACATCACGTGGGCCAATCATAAACAAGCATTGTTAACCAGTGCTATCCACATATCAGAATATTACATCCCCCTTTCTTTGAAGAAAATAACCATATACAGTTGCAAGAAAAAGTATGTGAACCCTTTGGATTCTCCACACATAGCGTTGTGTGTTCCTTCCAAACAACTCAACTTTGGTTTCATCTGTCCACAGAATATTTTGCCAGTAGTGCTGTGGAACATCCAGGTGCTCTTTTGCAAACTTCAAACGTACAGTAATGTTTTTTCTGGACAGCAGTGGCTTCCTCCGTGGTGTCCTCCCATGAACTCCATTCTTGTTCAGTGTTTTACGTATCGTAGATTCGTCAACAGAGATGTT